GGAGTTCATGAATCCATTTGGGGAGCACACGTTAAATTATACAGGCCTACCTTATTCCTTATTTTATTGGTATAAAATTTTACAAATCACTGGGATTTTTGTATTCTTCTTCCTTTCTTTTTTGTTACAAAAACACAATTTTGCAAACACCACCGAGTCTAACCGTTCCTGCTTGGGCAAGAAGAAACGAGGCTTTCAACACAGCACAGCGAATCACAACAAACCGTAACGCGATGATATACAAAACTAATTGAATTAGCAATAAATGTTTTGTTGTTTATTTCAAACCGCACATATACATGCACACACTCACAAATTTCCTTGTCATATTTTTTTTCAATTTCTTTTTTTGTTGTGGATTATTATCATCCATACACTTTGCTTTTTTCCATTCACAAAAATATATTTTCCATTTTTTATTAGAGGTAGGTTGTCAGCGTAAAACAGAAACAAGCAAGCAAGGAAATATGGAAATGTCACACACAACATGACAAGAAGGTGGGAGAATTACAGTGGCAGCAGCAGCAAACGGCTATAAATGAGCGAACGGCGGCATCACATTTGGGGAAGAGAGAGAAAGCACACACAATATTTGCAACACACGCACGCACAGGCACTACTCTCCTTCTCCAACGGTGTGGTTCACTCTCTGTGTTGTCAACCATACCAACCAAACGAATGGAGAGTAGAGCACAGTCGGGCGAAGCACCGCACGCGTGCACTCTCGCGAGAGTAAGTATCACTATTCTCTCACACACATTCAACTGAACCAATTGAAAAACCATTGACACACACACAAAGACAAGTGCCTGAGAACAGAATTGTTTATGCTCTGCCCGTGCCTGGAGTAGAGTAAACACCACTAAACGGGTGTATGTGTGTTAGCGTGGTTTTATATTTGTCGGGATCGGGATCGGTGTTGAGAGTTTCTCTCCCTCTCAGTGGTAAATTGTGAATTGTGTTGGAAAACATTAACACAGGAACAAAACACATAGGAACAAAAAAGTACGAAAAGGTACCTAAAATTCTACTTCAAATGATAATAAATCATAATTACCGAGAAATATTGGTCAATATTTATACCTGTTATATGCGTAAATAATATATGTTATAATTTAAGCGTAAATGTATTCACTAACAATAAAAAATCTAATTTTTATTTTGGTACGTTTATGTCAATTCGTACCTTTTGTGAACAAAAAGTACGCTTGTTACAAAATTAAAAATAGCGCAACTCTAATTACTCTCTCAAGGGAGAGAAACTCTCAACACCGATCCCAATCCCGACAAATATAAAACCACGCTTATTGGTCTACTGGAGAGCATCAGGCAGAAAAAAACACAGCAGCATGTGTGTTATGTGAGAGAGAGGGAGAAACAGAGCAGCAATACGTTTTGTTACAGAACAAATATAACGACAACAATAATAACAAAAAAAAAAACCAACCAACAAAAGAGGGTGCAAGTTTTTTTCTGGCGTTCGTACGTCCATACTACTTGTCATTTGTTATGAATTAACAAGAAAATAAGAATATAATAATTATTTCATTTTTGTTATTTACTTTTTTCGAATGATATCTGCGCTCAACTTTGGCTTTTCTTTCCATAAAGTTGATTTCGGGCACTTTATATTTCAGTTTCAATCGGTAACCTTAAAAACTTGGTTTTCACTTTTTTCAATAGGGTTTTATATTTCCAGAACTTTTCTTTTTTATGGCCAAGGGTTTTTCTTTTTACAAAAACTAGACAACTTTTATTTTCACATAAACAACAAATGACGGGCGACGCGACTAAGATGTTTTTTTAAAGCCTTTCCTTCGTTGTATAGAGACGTTACGCGTTTTATTTTATTTTTTTCAGGCGTTTTCAATTTAATATTTTCTTTTCAACATTAATTTTTTATTTCAATTTTTTTTGCACAACAGAATTTTGGTTTACATATCCATTGGGGGTTTATTATTTTTTTCCTCTTTTTTTGTAACAAACAGATTTATTTTCACAGGACAAGACACAACTGTTTTATCAGACGACTGTTTCACGACTACGAACTTTGCAAATTGGAAAATTGGAGAGTATGGAAAAAATGCTCTCTTTGCTTTGGGTTGTTTGGAAACAGGGTTGTGTCAGAAAGGTAGTAGTTTAGTTTACCAGTTTGAACAGCTGTTTTGGTTGGTGGTGGTTGTTTTAGTACTTTGTACTAATTGGATTTCTTTTGCGGTGCTTTTTACTTAAGTGGTGTGGCAATACATCAAATTTCATTTGATTTAAACCGCCACATATATAATACTAGGATATAGACTTAATAGTATGCTTACATGGCATGGGATTTATTAAATTTCGTAAGGAAAGATGTTGTGAAGGCAGCATCTTAAGATTGGACTTCTTATAGTACGTCTACATTGTACTGGATTTCGGATTAATCTGCAGTATAAGCATCCGTTCCTTGGTATGTGTCTGACCCAGCATATGATTGCCTGGTTTCATTCAGTGTTTAAAATTCCCGGTGGCGTAGGGGATGATAGATACCAAGCAACGGCTCTGATTGGTTTTAACCCAGGCTTATCTTGGTCCCTTTCATCCCCGCTGTTCACCTGGGTAACTATTTTAATCACCCTTTGAATGTGCTGAGAGTTCACCTATAAGAACTATAAAAAATGGGTTGAGGCGTCGGGTTAGTTGCCCACACTCGAAGAACCCTTCCTACTATGAAAAAGCAAAGAAAACCAAACCCCCCTAATAGCAAAAAACATGGTAGTTAGCAGCAGATTCAAGCATCTCGATATATACAAAGCCACCTGGATTTCTTCTAATCAAGCAGCGAGAAATCAAATTGACCATGTTGTGATAGACGGAAGACATTTATCCTGTGTTTTAGACGTTCGATCGATATGAGGAGCGAATATCGATTCGGACCATTACCTTGTAGTAGCCATGGTTGGCACTCGTCTTAAAGTAGCAGCAAAGGTGCGATCTAATGTAACACGGAATCTCGTCGTCGAAAAGCTGCAAACACAACAGATAGCAGAAGCATACTCCGTTCAACTTACCCACTTGCTTGACGAATGCATTCCTTGTACTTGGTACGATCAGGAGAGTCGTAATGCTACTGAGGCGAAAATCGCAGGCAACACTGCAGACAGTAGCAACACGTAATGCCATGGAGAATTATCGGGAGAAAAGGAGAGAGATGAAACGTATTTTCAGATAAAAAGAAGAAAGAACAAAAAAACGTGAGCGTGAGCAAATCGAGGTGTACAGGAGTCAGAATGAAGTCTGGAAATTTTATCCACGAGTAAAACACTAAATCTTTGACGCAGGCACATCATCCTGTAGAGATGAAGATGGAAACCTCGTGACAGATACAGATAACATGTTGAGGATCTGGAAGGAGCGTTTTGAAAAGCTCCTGGTATCAAATAGTGGCTGTAAAAAGGACACCCCAGCACCAACAAGAGATTACAGAAGCCAATGTTCAATGACATTATTAGACTATACCAATGCGGCTTCAGCAAAAAACATGGTAGTTAGCAGCAGATTCAGGCATCTCGATATACACAAAGCCACCTGGATTTCTTCTAATCAAGCAGCGAGAAATCAAATTGACCATGTTGTGATAGACGGAAGACATTTATCCTGTGTTTTAGACGTTCGATCGATATGAGGAGCGAATATCGATTCGGACCATTACCTTGTAGTAGCCATGGTTGGCACTCGTCTTAATGTAGCAGCAAAGGTGCGATCTAATGTAACACGGACTCTCGTCGTCGAAAAGCTGCAAACACAACAGATAGCAGAAGCATACTCCGGTATACCAATGCGGCTTCAGACCTGGGAAAACCAGCATTGACCAGATTTTAACTCTGTGCCAAATCCTGGAAAAGACCCACGAAAAACACATCGAAACATACCACCTATTCGTCGATGATAACGCCGCATTCGACAGCTCTATCCGTTCAGAGGTGTTTAAGCCATGTCTGCCTTCGGTATTCCTGCAAAATTAATACGGCTATGCAGGATAACTTTAAGTGGCACAAGGTCTGCAGTTAAAGTCGGAAAGGGACTATCGGATCCATTTAAAACCGAACGAGGATTCAGAAAAGGTAGAAGTTTGTCGTGTGATCCTTTTACAACCTGCTGGAAAAGGTCATACGAGACGCAAAGGTGAACAGAAATCACACTCTGTACACCAAACAACACATGTTACTTGCCTACGCCGATAACATCGATATAATGGGTCGAACATTGCGAGCGGTAAAAAAAATGAGAAGGAGTCTGTCAAAGAGGGTCTGACAGTAAACGGCGAGAAGATCAAGCTGATGGTACGAACGCGCAGGACGTCCAGTAGACTCGGATCAAATGTGTAACTTGAGAACAACAGCTTCGAGAAAATTAAAGATATTATATACCTCGGTACCGCTGTAAATAAAAATAATGTTTCAGTTTTGAAATTCGAAGAAGGATTGTGATGGCCAAAAGATAATACTATGGTCTAAGTAAACAGTTTAGAAACAAGCCCACATCGCGCCAGACTAAACTCACACTTTACAAGACGCTGATACTACCCGTGCTATTATATGGATCTGAAGCATGGGAACTTACGCAAGCAGATGATGCAGTGTTGGACAGAAAAATTTTCCGGAAGATCTACGGGCCGATCTGCGTCGACGGCGAATCTAAACTTTATGTCTGTAATTCGGTATTTATTTTTTTTTCTGAGTACTACCTCACAATGAAATAATACATATCTCATACAAGGTTTAAAGAAGTTTAAAAACACTGCGTTACTTTAAAAATTAATATACGTCATACGCCGCCAACCGCCATTCAATTAGGGCCGCCTTGTAAACAACACTCACTCAGTGATGCCACTGTGTACAAAAGAGCAAATCAGCTGTTGTTTACAAGATATTCACGTCAATAGACGGTGAGCGAGAAAGCATCCTCCCAACTTGTTTTTTTTAACAAAATTTGGCAGTTTTTTATACAAAAAATATTAAATCACAATGAAGGAAACAATACCATTGCCACAAATTCAACAATTAATTCATGATATTAAAGTGGGGTAAGTAATTTCACATATGAAATTAATGATAAAATAATTATAATCTGTTTTCGGTATTCACAGCAAAGTTGATGGCTCATTTAATATAACCACAAAAACATTGGATTTGTTTAAACAAATCATAACAAATGCCAAGTGGCAACATGCTGAGTGAGTTGAATCCAATTTTTTTTGAAAAGTAAATTGTATTTTGATTTGTCTTGTAGGGAATTAATGCAAACCATACGTACGCAGGGCCAAATTCTGCAATCGGCATTACCCCAAGAGACCGTTACATCGAATGTTACACGTCGATTGTTGAAAATTGTACGCGAGGAATTTGATTTGCTGCAAGCGAAGGTAAGTAAAAACCACACACATCTGTTATTGCTATGTGAAGGTGAACTTAAATCATTGAAAGGGTGATCTTGAATGTATCGGGAAGAAATATGTCAACATTTCCTGCACGTGGAACATAACCAGATTTAGTTAGTCATCCGACTACATAGGAACTTCAAAGTATTGATATTCATCATTAGAGCGTTGCCTTGTTATGAAACTCTGTGAGGAACCCAATTTACAAGTTGAACACGGTAATCTATTTGTAGATGAATTTAAGTCTGTTCCATAACCTGCAACATGGTGTTATATTGTGCTATTTTTAAAGATAAAAAATGGAGTAGAATTTTCCGACTTTTTATACCCCCCAAAATAAGGTGGTGTGTATATCAAATTAGTCATTCCATTTGCAATACCTCGAAATATTCACCAGAGAAACTACTCCTGATCAGAATAGAATTTTATGCCGATTTGTAGAAATTACGATAAACTTCCCAATATTTTAAAAAGGAGCTTTGAATTTTTGCACACACAATGTTAAGACTCCTCGGATGTTTGGTATTGAAAATGGGATGTAACGGTCGCCGTTTTGGTGTAGTCTCCATACAACAATAACCTAAAATTTTCGATATTTGGTTAATTTTTAGCACATTTTCGACCAAATTGACTGTAATTTGGACTTTGAATTCCTATTGGGTAGGAAATCTCTAAAAATTATGGATTTTGGTCCCTTACTTTTGATGGCTTCCATATAAAAGTATCTCCCATTATTCGGTATTATACAGAGTTTGGGCAAGTTTTGTAACCGAATTGGCTATAATTTAGTATTTTGAATTCTCATTGGATAGCAAATCTCCCTGCCAAAAATTATCGATATCGGTCTACTTTTGAGGATATCCCCCATATAACGATACCCCCGATTTTTTGGTATTTTGGGGGAGTTTGGACAATTTTTTTATCCAAATCTTCCTATCAAAAATTATTGATTTTGGTTCACTTTTTAAGATTGCCTCCATATAATGGAACCCCTTATTATTCGATATTTTGAGGAGTTTCGAAATTTTTGTTTACCGAATCGGATGTAATTTGGTAATTTGAGTTCCTACTGGGTAGAAAATGTTCCTACAAAAAATATGTGGGTAGCCCTCATTATTCCGGATTTTGGATATTATATATTTCTACCATTATTATTATTATTCGGTATTTTGCGGAGTTTTGGCAATTTTTTCAACCAACTGGGCTATAGTTTACTATTTTGAATTACCATTCGGTAGCAAAGCTCCCTACCAAAAATTATCGATATCGGTTTACTTTTTAGGATAGGTTCCATATAACAGTACCCGAATATTGTCACGTTTTGACCGATCTTTTTTAAAAATCCACACCAATAGCTGGGATGTTGGTTAAAAACATCTATTTAAAAAATTCACACCAATAGCTGGGACGTTGGTTAAAAAAATCTATTTAAAAAATCCACGCCCCTAGCTGGGATGTTGGTTAAAAACATCTATTTAAAAAATTCACACCAATAGCTGGGATGTTGGTTAAAAAAATATATTTAAAAAATCTACGCCCATAGCTGGGATGTTGTTTGAAAAAATCTATTTAAAAAATCTACGCCCATAGCTGGGATGTTGTTTGAAAAAATCTATTTAAAAAATCTACGCCCATAGCTGGGATGTTGTTTGAAAAAATCTATTTAAAAAATCTACGCCCATAGCTGGGATGTTGTTTGAAAAAATCTATTTAAAAAATCCACGCCCATAGCTGGGATGTTGTTTGAAAAAATCTATTTAAAAAATCCACGCCCATAGCTGGGATGTTGTTTGAAAAAATCTATTTAAAAAATCCACGCCCATAGCTGGGATGTTGTTTGAAAAAATCTATTTAAAAAACCCACGCCTATTGGTCGGATGTTGGTCTGAAAAAATCTATTTAAAAAATCCACGCCTATTGGTCGGATGTTGGCTGCAAAAAATCTATTTAAAAAATCCACGCCCATAGCTGGGATGTTGTTTGAAAAAATCTATTTAAAAAATCCACGCCCATAGCTGGGTTGTTGTTTGAAAAAATCTATTTAAAAAATCCTCGCCCATAGCTGGGATGTTGTTTGAAAAAATCTATTTAAAAAATCCACGCCCATAGCTGGGTTGTTGTTTGAAAAAATCTATTTAAAAAATCCTCGCCCATAGCTGGGATGTTGTTTGAAAAAATCTATTTAAAAAATCCACGCCTATTGGCCGGATGTTGGTCCGAAAAAATCTATTTAAAAAATCCACGCCTATTGGTCGGATGTTGGTCTGAACAAATATATTTAAAAAATCCAAGCCTATTGGTCGGATAGATGTTGGGTTAAAAAAAAAAAACTATTTTAAAAATCCACTCCTTTTTTTTGTAATAACTAATACATATAACCCTTTACCTACCTTAGGTCCACCATTTACCCGATGATTCCCAAGCCACGTTATCCCTACATAAATTGGTTACCCAAACCAGCGAATGTGATGTATGCGTAAACTATGGTGTACCACGTGATGGATTGAAAGAAGCCTTACTCGATCATTTGGAAGAAATTGAAACGGAATTGGAAACCAGCTGTGAAAGTATATGTGCCCAGGCTGAACAGCATATACATTCAACGGAAGTTATACTAACATTAGGTCATACCCGCAGTGTTGAACACTTTTTGAAACGGGCCATAAAGAAACGGCAATCGTTGACCATTATCATTGCCGAATGTGCACCGGCATGTAGGGTAAGAAGTACCTGAAAAATAATCTAAAAAAATTATAATAGTTTTTGTTGTAGGGTCACAACTTGGCCGCCAGCTTGGCCAGCAACAATGTCGAAATCATTGTCATACCCGATTCGGCCATTTTCGCCATGATGTCTAGGGTTAACAAGGTGATCATTGGTACCCACAGTGTTTTGGCTAATGGTGGTTTGCGTGCTGCCTGTGGCGCCTATACGGTTGCATTGGCGGCCAAACATTATTCAGTGCCGGTTATTGTTTTGGCGCCCATGTACAAATTAGCACCCGTACATTTATGTTCATACGAACAGGATGCCTTCAATTCGCTGGGTTGTGCTGAGGGTGTGTTGCCCTATGATTCATCGGCAGCACGTTGTGCAAAAATCTATAGTCCCATCTTTGATTACGTACCCCCGGAATTGGTGACATTATTTATATCGAATACGTAAGTGGAAAAAATACAGAAAAGAAAAAAGGCATGAAGTAATTTTCCTATTTTTGTTTATTCCAGTGGCGGCCATGCTCCTTCCTATGTTTATCGTTTGTTGACTGAACTTTATCATCCTGATGATTATGAAATGTAATTGCCAGTTGCTTATCCCTCTCTGTTTGTGTTCTTCATTCGATGTTGTTGCCGTTTTTTATTTTTTCTTTTACTAAGTACAAGAAATGCTTATATCAAACAACTAAAATAAAAAGGTGTACAATTTCAATGCTCGAGAACATGATAAATGCAAATCTCTTTTTCTCTTTGTGGATTTTCACTGTCAACGGAATACATTTTCCTTTATTTTTCATACTCTACACCAGGCAGAGTGTATATTAAATTTGTATTTGCTTTGGAAACACATCGAAATATTCAATGGATACTTCAAAAAGTAAATATATTTATGATCAGAATAAAATTCTATGCCGATAGAGATAGATATCGTAATATTAAAGTTAGACCTTTGAAATTTTACACAAACATTGATACTACTCCTAGAATATTTGGAATTGAAAGTGATATACATCGGTCCAGGTTTTGGTGTAGCTCCCATATAAGGGTATCCCTCATATTTCGGAATTTTGGACAAGTTATCATATAAACATGGCTCTAATTTGCTGTTTGGAGTTCTCGTGGGGTGTAAAATCTTCCTACTAAAACTTAATAATATCTATCCATGTCTACGTATATCCTCCATGTAATGGTACCTCCCAATTTTCGGATTTTTTAATATTCCGTGCATATTTTTCAACTGAATTGTCTCCAATTTCATATTTTGTGTTCTCATTGAGGTGCAAATCTTCTTAATAAAAATTATCAATATTGGTCCATGTTTAGTTGTAGCCCCCATATTACGGTACCCTCGAATTTTCTGATTTTTGAGGATTTCGGTTTTATTTTTCAACCAAATTGTCTCCAATTTCATATTTTGGGTTCTCACAAGGTAGAGAATCTCTCTACCAGATATTATCCATATCGGTCCATGTTTGCGTATAGCCTCCATATAATGGTACCTCGCAATTTTTGGATTTTTGAGGACTTAGGTCATATTTTTGAATCGAATTGTCTCCAATTTAATATTTTGGGTTCTCATTGAGTTGCAAATCTTCCTAGCAAAAATTATCAATATCGGTCCATGTTTAGGTATAGCCCCCATATTACGGCACCCTCCAATGTTCTGATTTTTGAGGATTTCGGCCATATTTTCAATGGAATTGCCTTCAATTTAATATTTGGTGTTCTCACCAAAAATTGTCCATATCGGTCCATGTCTGCATATAGCCTCCTTATAATGGTACCTCCCAATTTTCGGAATTTGAAGATTTCGGTCATATTTTTCAACCGAATTGTCTGTAATTCCAAAATTTGGATTCTTACAAGGTAAAGAATCTCTCTACCAAAAATTATGCATATCGGTCCATGTCTGCACATAGCCTCCATATAATGGTACCTCCGAATTTTTGGATTTTTGAGGACTTCGGTAATATTTTTGAACCAAATTGTCTCCAATTAAAAATTTTAGGTTATCATTGAGGTGTATATTTTTTTTTTTTTTTTTTGAGGTGTCCCCACACCCCATATTTTGGTATTTTGAGGATATCAAAGCTCGTTTTTCAATCGAATTGTCTTCAATTTGATAATTTGTGTTCTCATTGGGTAGAACATCTTCCTACCCAAAAATATCGATATCAGTCGATGTTTAGGTATTGGTCCCTTTATAAATATACCTCCAATATTCGTAATTTCCATGGTTTTAACCGATTTTCTCCCACCGAAATGGCTGCAATTTGCCATTCTGAGTTCTTGAGTTCGAATTTTCCAACCGAATTTAATGCTTACTCGCCTACGCCGATGACATCGACATAATGAGTCGAACACTGAGAGCGGTAAACAGCCACCTTTGAACGAGTTGAGAAGGAGTCTGCCAAAGTGGGTCTGGCAGTAAACGGCGAGAAGACCAAGCTGATGGTATCAACGCGCAAGACGTCCAGTAGACTCGTCCTACTGTGGAACTTGAGAACTACAGCTTCGAGGTAGTCAAAGATTTTATGTACCTTGGTAACGCCATAAACAAAATGAATGACATCAGTTTTGAAATTCGGAGAAGAATTGTGATGGCCAACAGATGCTACTATGGAGCATTCAACTCAAAAGCAAGGAAACCTCCCGACAGACCAAACTCACACTCTACAAGACGTGCAGATGAGGCAGCTCTTGGAGTGTTTGAGAGAAAAATTCTCCGAAAGATCTATGGGCCGATCTGCGTTGATGGTGAATATCGACGTCGAATGAAACATGAGTTGTACCAGCTATTCTCGGACATCGACATTGTTAGACGTATTGAGATGCAGCGACTACGTTGGCGGGGTCATGTTGTGCGAATGGATGAAGATGCCCCACCCCAGAAGGCATATAAAAGCGAACCATCTGATGGTTCAAGCAGAAGGGGAAGGTCACGAATAAGATGGAAAGATTAAGTGGAAGATAACATTGCCGAATATGGTCCTTCAAATTGGAAAAACTGCGCAAAAGACCGACGCGCCTGGAAATCTTTTTTAAGCTCGGCTTATGGGACGAAAGTTCTGTCACAAGCCAGTTAAGTAAGTAAGGTTGCTTGCAGACAATTTTTGTAATGGGTCCATTTTTGATAATAGCTCTCATATTAAAGGCCTGCCCCATTTTTTGCTTGTTCAAGTTCGTAACCCAAATTCAGTATAAATTCATATTCCCCCAATGAAAGGTTTAAGGTGCACACCATACATTTTAGGGTATAAACTGTTCTACTTGGCCGAATTTAAGGTATTTTTTACTTTTTTGTTTTACAATTTAAAATACTTTTGTGTTTTGTATTCATTTTTGGTCTTTCTTTTTGCAATTCCATTTGATGAAACGTTTAAAATCCAATTAGTTGGAAATAGTTTTGCTGACAAATTCCTATGTCAAAATTTCTTCATAGCCATGGCTCTGTGACGCGTTTTGTTGGCCATTGCAGTTGTTGTAATTTTCATTTTTTTGCAATCAGTACTTTTGTGGACATTTGAAAAGGCGGGTTTACGGATTTTTATTTTTCGAAATCGAAATGAAAAAAGAAAATGTATTAAAATTTACTGTTAATAAAATAATGGATATTTTGCGTTAAAAAGGCGGGACAATATTGGAATTGATAAAATTTTAAAGATAGAAGAACAAATACTTCAAGAATGATGATAAAATAATTTAAAGTAATTTGATATGAAATGGGTTTTAAATATATAAAAGTGTTTCGATATAACTAAACAATTTTTCAAAATTGAAAATATTTGAAACCTTTTGTGAATTAATTAAAGTGTTGTAAATTGGATATGAAATATTCTCCTGAGTGATGATGAAATAATTTACTGGAATTCCAAATGAATTTCTTATACAAAACTGTGTTTGGAAATAACTAAGAATTAATTTTTTTGGTATTGAAAAATAAACTAAAAATCTTCAAAAAATATTTTAAAATGAATTGCCAGTGCATTTTCTTTTCATCATAAATAATAATATATATATAAAATAGAAATTATATAATTAATTTATATAAATTAATATTAATTATTAAAAATAATATTGGTAAGAAAAAATTGTTGGATATTTCAACATAACCTCAAAAAATTAATATGAAACAATTCAAAGAAAATCTTGAAATTTTTTAAGCTGAATTCGGAATTTTCTCCATATTGTAGGCTCCCTTCATCACATGACATAGTAACGACCATTTCACCTAAAAACATTTTAATAATACTTAAATCAATTTTAAATAAATATTTTAATTTATTATTCAAAATATTTTTAAAATTATTTTTAGGAACCTTTCTTTAATTCACAAACAACTGCATAAAATCACCCACACTCTCAGCATAATAATCCGGTTGATTACATTCCTCCGTATTCAACATATCCTCTTTGGTATTGGCCCCGCTCAGTACAAATAATGTCTGGAAGCCAACACTTTTTCCAAAATTTATATCCATTTTTAATGAATCGCCCACAAACAGACAACGTTGTGGTTTTGTTATTCCGAAACGTTCTTTGAGAATATCGGCCAACAGCAGGGAAGGTTTACCCAAAACAATGGGTTGTTTATTGGAATGTTTTATGAGGAAATTATAGAACTCTAAATAACCTGAAACAAATCAAAGAAATTTCTTAGAAATATTCAAAATTTCATATCAGAATGAAATTTTTAAAAAATACTTATTTCAAGGCCCAAAAAGGGGTGGATTTTTTAAAGAATATTCTTTCAAGGCCTCCAACAAGGCGTGGATTTTTTAAATAATATTTTTTTCAGAGCGTGGATTTCTTAAAGAATATTTTTTCAAGGCCTTCAACAAGGCGTGGATTTTTTAAAGAATATTTTTTCAAGGCCTTCAACAAGGCGTGGATTTTTTAAAGAATATTTTTTCAAGGCCTTCAACAAGGCGTGGATTTTTTAAAGAATATTTTTTCAAGGCCTTCAACAAGGCGTGGATTTTTTAAAGAATATTTTTTCAAGGCCTTCAACAAGGCGTGGATTTTTTAAAGATTTTTTTAAAGAATATTTTTTCAAGGCCTTCAACAAGGCGTGGATTTTTTAAAGATTTTTTTAAAGAATATTTTTTCAAGGCCTTCAACAAGGCGTGGATTTTTTAAAGATTTTTTTAAAGAATATTTTTTCAAGGCCTTCAACAAGGCGTGGATTTTTTAAAGAATATTTTTTCAAGGCCTTCAACAAGGCGTGGATTTTTTAAAGATTTTTTTAAAGAATATTTTTTTAAGGCCTTCAACAAGGCGTGGATTTTTTAAAGAATATTTTTTCAAGGCCTTCAACAAGGCGTGGATTTTTTAAAGAATATTTTTTCAAGGCCTTCAACAAGGCGTGGATTTTTTAAAGAATATTTTTTCAAGGCCTTCAACAAGGCGTGGATTTTTTTAAGGATATTTTTTCAAGGCCTTCAACATGGCGTGGATTTTTTAAAGAATATTTTTTCAAGGCCTTCAACATGGCGTGGATTTTTTAAAGAATATTTTTTCAAGGCCTTCAACATGGCGTGGATTTGTTAAAGAATATTTTTTCAAGGCCTTCAACAAGGCGTGGATTTTTTAAAGATTTTTTTAAAGAATAT